ATTCCTGGGGCCTTATTTTTTGCCATTTCCTTCAAAGCAGCCTGAACTTCTTCTTTCATCATCATAGGCTCTTGCTTATATGTTGTTTCATGAAATTCTTCTGTGTCTTCCAATTCCTTTCGATACAGTGACTCAGTATATTCCTTCCATCTTCCTTTAATACTTTTAACATTCTGCCGAAAGCATCCTTGATTATAGCAACTCGAGGTTTGAATTTATTCTTCAGTTCCTTGAGCTTAAGGTATGTTGAGCGAGTTCGGCCCTTTTGATTTTCTGACTCCAACTCCTTGCACATTTCATTGTAATATTTTGCTTTGTCATCCCATACTTACCTGGCAGAGGAAACACCTGTATTTATACGTGTTTGAATACTGCCGCGGGCCGCCTCGACCAATTGGAGGAGAGGACGCGGGGTCTCCGCCCCGCCTCCGGGTGACGTCACAGAGTCGCGCGGAACAGCGAGGCGTCGGGCCTCCTACCTCAGGGGATCGCTGGTTACTTGGCTCTCTCTATCGGATCCCTGTTGCAGACGCTGCACCATGGCTTTCGTGATCAGACAGTTCGTGCGTGGCATGTCCTCCTCGTCCTCCGCCACGGCCTCAGCCAAGAAGATCATCCTTAAGCATGTGACAGTCATCGGCGGCGGACTGATGGGGGCCGGGATCGCGCAGGTGAGCTGCCCCCAGACTGTGCCACCCGCGTTTGCTTTACTTTACTGCCCACTCACGGCAAATCAGGGCCAGCGGAGAATGGCTGAGGGGCTCCCACTCAACAGGGACCGGGAAAGTTTTCACCCCACCCTTGTGTAGTTGAAATATCTCAGGTTGGGGCCAATGGAGGGTTACCACCCTCCAGCCATTCCCCTAAAAGTTTAGTGCTTTGGGACCTAGCCTCTGTTACCTCCTGTTTAAAGGCCTGGCTGTCTCCATGGAGTCTATGGAGAATGTTGGTGCAAGCACACTGGATACCTCAAACCCCAACAAAACTCGTTGCCACTGCTTTGACCCTATAGGACAGGGTAGAACTGTGCCACAGGTTTTCTGAGACTGAAATTCTTTACGGAAGCAAACTCGTGGATCTGGCTGTGTGGATTTGAACCTCCGACCTGCCGCTCATCGGCGGAACTCTTTAACCACTTATCTATCCACCAGGTCTCTGTGTGCAGGGAAGAAAATACTTTATGTGTTCCAATAACCTGTTTCCACCTTATCCAGTTCAAATAGCAATTTGTGTCTTGAGAACTGGATTTTTTCATGTCTACAGGTTTTGTCAGAATAGGTATCTGCTCTCCTAAATGATCTCCCTCCGTTTTTGCTTTGTGTATTCTTTTACTGGTTGCAAATAATAATAATGGCTGGAATTTTTAGAGTATTCTATAAAGGTATTTGAACTAAGCTTGCTCCTCACCCCTGGACTCACTCACTGAGTTGCTGCTAAAGGCAAGGTAGACCTTTGACCTAGTGCCTTCTGTGCAGAGAACTGTGCTAGCATTAGTTCTGGGAGAGGAGGAGGAGGAGACAAAGCTGCAGATTCGGGCTTTCTGCCCTGGAAGGATCTCTGATATCATTGGCACCATGTTCCAGGCTGGCTGTGGTTCAGCGTCGGTTGTGCAATTACTTGGCATGTTGTAGTGCTTGCATTTGACGTTTTTTAGGGTTTTTTTTTGGCAGCTGGAAATTTTTTTTTTTTGGTATAATGTATTTTGTTGTTGTGATTATACACAATAATAATTTTTAATGAGTACCTCCTTGTTAACATTTGAAGGTTGTGATTTTTATATCTGGGATCTTTTACAGCTTGGATTGTTGGAGAGTAGTAGATATTTCTTGGGAGAGGGCCTCAAGTTCAGTATCTACAGTAAGGATCTGTTTCCAGCCAATGCCTCACTTTTTTTTTTTTTTTAATTTTTTTAAATTTTCTTTCTTTCTTTTTTTTTAAATTTAATTTCTTTATTTTTAATTTCAATGAACATCTACAGAGATTTTGGAATTCCATTCATTCATTGTTGCACCCCTCTCCCCGCCCCCCCACCCAATGCCTCACTTTTATGCTTTCTTTTTAAAGAAATGTTTGAATATTACAAGCAGTTATTGCACTACAAATGAGATCAGTTCTTTTTTTTAAAAAAAGTATTCATTTTAATAAAAGCTTACAGAGACTTAGGATTTCCATTCATTTATTGTTGCACTTTTCTCCCTGCCTACCCTTCCCCCCCAATTTGCTCTTCTCTTTGAAAAGTAAAATTCTTTCATTGCTACAGATCAGTTCTTTTTTTTTTGTTTATTATTAATTTCAATGAAAATTACATTTACTTTGGATTTCCGTTCATACATTGTTGCACTTTTCTCCCCTTCTAACCCTCCCCCCTACTACACTACCCTCTTGGAAAAGTAAAAGAAAAATTCTTTCATTGTTTTACAATCCCTTCCCCTAGGTCCACTCCACTATGCAGCCTTTGCTCTGGACTCCTGTCATGACACAAATACCCAATAACATATCCCTTTTAAAGAGTTTTCTCCCTCATCTGTTTCAAAGCAGTATACATTATTGAACCCATCTTTCTCAGTCTCCCCCAACCCCGATGTCAGTCCTGTTTTACAACAGTGGCACCATGCAGTATTTGTCCTTTTTTGACTGAGATACTTCACTCCACATAATGTCCTCCAGGGTCACCAATTTTGAATAATATTGCATGAGTTCCTTGTTTCTCAATGCAGCATAGTATTCCATTGTGTGAATATACCACAGCTCTATCCACTCATTTGTTGATGGACACTTTGGTTGTTTCCAACTCCTTGCTGTTGTGAACAAAGACACAGTAAACATGGTTGTGCATATATCTGCTTGGATCTCAGTTATGGTCTCTTTGGGGTATATTCCCAGTAGTGGAATTGCTGGGTCAAATGGTATCTCTATTTGCAACTTTTTGAGAAAGCGCCATACCGCCTTCCACAGTGGTTACACCATTTTACACTCTCACCAACAGTGAATAAGGGTTCCAGTTTCTCCATAACCTTGCCAGCATTTGTTGCTTGCACGAGATCAGTTCTTAAGGGCCATATTTAGGTCCCATTTGTAAGTAAGATGGCATATATGCAACTCTTAGTCTATGTGAATACAAAAAAATGAACCCTGGTTATGTAGTGTATAAAGTGTGGGTGGGGCTGCTAGCTAAAAGGTCAGCAGTTCAAATCCACCAACGCCTCCAAGAAAGAAAGAGGGTCTATGTTTATAGCTTTAGAAACCTGTTGGATGATCTCTATGAGTCAGACTCAATGGAAGTGAAATATGTGGATTTAATGCAAGAAGAGACTTGAAGCTGTTAGGTTAGGTTAGTGGACTTAAAGAAGAAATCAGAGAGAATGAGAGAAAACTTAATGCAGCTTTAGTAAAGTGGGGAAAGGGGAGCTCCCCGGTGAGTTCCTCATCCTGGAGAGGCAGAATGGGAAGTCACACTGTGAACTTACTGGGAAGGATTTTTATCAACAGAGTCTTTTGGGAGGGACATTCCACTCTGATTTACGAGCCACCTGCTAGCTTAGACAGACAAGGCCATTTTCTTATCTTCAACAGTAAGGCCATCAGCATTTGAGTTCTGAATTCTTCATTCTTCTCTTTGGCCTCTCTGCCTAGACTAACAGAAGCCTTTTCAGTGCTTTAAATGCTACCTGTGGAGCAAGTGAAGGTGATTGCAATGAAGACGTCTTTGCTAGTAGGGATTGGCTCAGTCTTTTCAAAATGAGAACAAATTAACTTGATGTTAAAGGGAAAATTTGAATTGTCTATAAATTGGACAGTCATAACCCATATCTTAACTTATTTTTTCTCCACATTTTTTTGTGTTGTATTGAGGGTGAAACCAAGTTTCTCCTTGGAGACTAGGATTTTGAAGCTTGATATCACATACTCTGGGCACGTGGCCAGGAGAGACTGATCCTTGGAGAAGAACATCATGCTTGGAAGGGTAGAGGGACAGTGCAGGAGAGGAAGACACCAGGTGAGATGGACTGATACAGACAGCAGTGACTAGGACAATGGGGATTGGTCTGTTGGAATTAGTGAGACTGAGGACAGGGCAGGCGTCAGAGTTGCTATACATATTGGTATGAGTCACAGGCAACTTGATAGCACACAACAACAACAATATCCTAAAATACATATTTCTGCAATGTTTTATCCCTTTGATGATCTTTCATTTTTCTCTCTTGAGAGCATGTGTTTAAGTATACATTGCTTTTTTTTGATGCTGTAACTTCAAGTTTATGAATGTCCTCATAGTCTGTGTTATATATGAGATGGGAAGAAAATGGTCACTTTCACCTAAAAATCTAGACATTATACTTAAGGGAAAATTCAGCTTCAGAGCACTTTTCTCTCTCTGTTCTACTAAAATATCTCAAGATTTTGAGAGTGAAACTTATATGGATGTGATTAAAATACTAGTTTAAAAACACATATCTGAGGAATCCTAATAATACAATAGTTAAATGTTCCTGGTAATATAAGAGTTGTTGATTCTACTCACCCCTGGTTACCACAGGCTTGGTGACCTGTGTCTGTAAATATTACAACCTAGAAAACCCTATGGGGAAATTCTGTGCTTGTTGCATAGAATTGTTTTAAATTGAAAATTGAATCAGTGGCACCTAACAATAACACACAACATCTTAATAATGCGATATCAGAGCCTTAAGTCAACTGAAGGAACTGGTCCCAGAAGATATTGATGATGTGCTTGAAGACATCAGTGGAAAATGAGAAACTTGAATAGAAAGCATTAGCTCAGCTTTTATACAAAATCAGCATGCTCAGGTATACTGGACTAAATTTTGTTCCTCTAAAAATACATTTCATAAGCTGCTAAGATTTCCTGAGCTGTTCTACTCTCTACCAGCAAATATGGAAGTCAGCCACTTAGCCAACTGCCTGGAAGAAAGCCATGCTTGTTCCTATTCCCAAACAAGGTGATCGAACAGAATGTGGAAATTATCAAACAACAATCATTATTATTACATACAAGTAAAATTTTGGCAAAGATTAGTAAAAAAATTACTGGAACATTATATCAACAAGGAACTGTCAGAAATTCAGGCTAAAATCAGAAGAGGGACAAGAGATATCATTGCTGATGCCAGGTGGATGTTTACTTGAAGGGGATTTCACTGTGAATCAAAAATTATGGTTAACATTGAGAAGAAGGGAAACACTTGATTGTGTTTATGCGAAACCTACACTTAGACCAATAAGAATTTATTTAAACAGAATAAAGGAACATTGCATGGTTTAAAATCCAGAAAGGTGTGCATCAGCTTTGTATCCTTTCTCCATACCTATTTAATGTGTATGTTGAGCAAATCATTCAAGATGCTGGACTGTATGAAGAGGAATGTGGCATCAGGATTGGAGGAAGGCTTATCAACAACCTGTGCTGTGTATATAACACTGTTGCTTCTAGAACGTGAAGAGGACTTGAAACACTTGCTGCAGAAGATCTACAACTTTCAATATGGATTACATCTCAACATGAAGAAAACAAAAATCTTCACTACTAGAATAGGCAATATTCATTGTTGTTATGTGCCATCGAGTTGCTTGTGACTCATAGCGACCCTATGTACTACAGCCCAAAACTCTGCTCTGTCCTGTGCCAATGGCATTGTCTCTGACACAC